ATTTCGGACCTGAGCATAGATAAACAAACATTATGTGGAGATACCATAATTTTAAGTGAACAGAGCTCTGTATCAGTTACTGCCATATGACGCTACCAACTGTCTGGAAGTCCTATATATGTTACTAATATCAATGTATTTACTGGATACCTGTGAACATGCTAAAGACCACTCTAAATACCATTCTTTTTTGAAAACCAGTATTTTGGGCATGTAGTGATTGCTATGCAATGCTTAGGTGTATTTAGTGACTTGTTACAAAGTAGACTTCTGATAAATGTGCCAAGCATTTTGTGGAAGAGAAGAAATTAATATTTTTTATATTCTGCTATAAAATTCTGGATGGTTTAGGGCTGGAGGTGGGGTGGATTGTTGTGGGCTTTTATTGTTATTTTCCCTGTTATTGCTCATGTTGCTCTTGCTTTCTGTTCTGGATGTATTCTACAGATTGTGACAGAAATAACGTCATTTTGTTTTTGACTAACGTATGGAGAAAATGAGATTAAAAGTTGTATTTTAGGTTTCGGATTTCAAGACTATTTATTAGTTTGTATTACAGTGTAACTTTATAGAAGACAGGAGAAATTATAAAAATCCTCACAGGGTATATATAATTTTAATTTTAATTTAGAAGAAATTTTTATAGAGTTTGTACATACATACACAGACTCACATGCACACACTCTCATAATATATATTGCTGATAAGTAATGTATACCAGAATACTGACAAAGAAAAATTTCAATGTATTAGTAGCATAGACATTAATTTTATACCCAAGCTCAGCTACTTAATTCCTCTATTAAGAGCACCATTTCCAGAATACATATTGAGAAAATTAACTCTGGACACAGATTTTTTTATATTAAGGAAGGAAAACTTAGAATGCTGAAGAAATTCCAAGTCCTCCTTTCACATTGTAGGTCTTAGTTTTCTTAGTCTCTTCCTTTATTTGAATTGTACTCTGTATGAAGCAAGTTTTGATGTGAATTGAATAACCCTTTAAACACAAAATTCAACTGTAAAAGGTTGGATACAGTGCAGACTTCTCCACATATTTCTCTGTTTCAAGAAACATATGACATACTAAAGACAGACCTTTTATCTTCCCATCATCAACAAATGGATTTGAAAAAACAAAATATCACTGTGTTGAAACAGGTATCTCAGCATCCTCTTGCATACAAATTGAGAAAGAATTGAGTAGCTAACTAGGATTTACAACAAACAGGATCACTGTTTCCTGGGCATAGAATCTGAAAACTAAAACACAGAATCTGAAAGATCACGCTGAGTGTAGACATTGTGTAACCATCTTCCTTCTTTGTGTATACTGGCTTGCTGTTACGAACACTTGCTCTAGCACTGCAGAACGTGGGTATGAAGTACTCCTTAGCCAGCACGAAACATAAGTTTCAGGTACTCCTTAGCTTGGTGAGATTTGAATCTCAAGCTTCCACATGCCAAACTATTCCCTTTGGGTAGGTTTCAGTCCTCTTTGTAAAGCTGACTGCGACAGCTAAGCACATAAAATGCATCAATCTTGAAGAAAAACCTATGAGAGGAAAACTGACTCTAGAACTTAGGACACTTCACCAGAAGTAGTTCATAGATTCTTAGCTTTTCTTTAACTCACTTAATGGATTATCCAGAGAGAGCCTAATTTAAAGTACATAAGTATCATTTGTATTTTAAACTGAACATGAGTCATGCTGTCTCAGAGCATGCCCAGCAAACAAATCTGACAGCTAGAGGATGACATTTTTCTGGATCACAAAGTTCAGGTTCTTATGGGTTTGCATGTTGATTTGGGGACCTAGAAAAGAATTTGTTATTTTTCTGTAATGTTTAGTTCCAAGGACATTTCAGGCTCTTCTGAATAAGTTCTCCCTACTTAGTTGCCCAGATTCTGTAGGAAAATGGCAGTAGGCACCCCTGAAAACTGCATTGGATCTAGACTAAGTGCACAGTATGTGTGTGGATGATTAATTGGCAACACCTAAAAATCATTACTGTATTAATGCCAAATGTAAGACTATTCCAATCTTAAATCATTAACGTGTGTGTCATGAAAAAAAAAAAAAAAAGCCAAAAAGATTGAAAGCTTAGAAGTGATAATCTAATGAGGGTATAATACTTTAAATGCCTCTGAGATTAATTTGGCTTTTGACGGAGTTGTGCCTTCTTTGATGTATTCCTTTTTCTTTGATATTCTAAGAGTTGTCTGGGTTTAACAATTAAAGATTATAGGTCTGATCCATTTCAAAGATGCAGAACGCTTACAGCTCTTCGGGACTTCTGTGGAATTTGTGAGTGTTATAGTACTTCTACAAAATCAGGTCCAGGTTTTTAAAAAATCCAGAGCCCTAATTTAAGAAAGCTATCAAGCAAATACATGTTAATGATACTTATAGACCAGATCTTCAAACACATGATGTTCATAAGTGGAACTGGAAAGTGATAATGCTGTGTTTTCATTCATAACCTAGTATTTTTTCATAAGAATTAAAAAGAGAGATGTTACCATTAAAAAGTAAGAATATGGTTGTGTTCCGAATAAAAATAGAATACAGTTTTCTGCAGCATTATTACAGAAATTATTGAATAGTGTCTGCCCCTTTGAGAAAAAAAGCCACTATTAACACTAATATGGAACAAGACTACTCCATTTAATAGCATATATAATTTTAAGAAAAAAACCCCTATTGTGTGCACTTTTATCTTTGTCACTTTCTTGTTTCAAGAATGTTTCAATAATTAACATGCAAAATAAATAAAAATAAATTAAAACAGAATTTTATTAAATAAAACCAGTTGTGTTTCAAACATAATTCAGTCAAAAATTCAAACTGCCACTAAGGCAAATTATTAACAATCATTTTGTAGAAATAACTTCCCAAGTTAAAGTATTAATTTTTTGTAAATTTTATCATAGCATATTGTATGTGCATTTTCCTTTGACTGTCTCTGACACAGAGACTCAGACATGAACTTCTGCTACTGGTTTTAAATCCCTACACTGATTTCCCTTTTAATGGAGGAAAAGGTGAAAAACATTTTAGTAAATGCATAAATAATATTGATCCTTTTAATAGGAAGGAGTAAATATCCTGAGAAAGATGGTAGTACTGGACTGGTAATACTTAATTCTGTAAATACAGATAAGAAAAAAACTTAAAGTAAATTTTTGGGGGAATTATTCCTCACTGGAGAGTATATGCAGAAGTTTCTTTCAATGTCATGCAGAATGTTTCCTCCTCCTGTTACAAATTGGCATCTTCTTCATGCGAAGAAGGTACCACTGTAGTTGTAGACTAGGAAACTATAAATTTTCAAAATGTAAAGGTCCAGAAAGCTGTACTCCTGAAGCAGGAGCAGGGGAAGACAAGATCATAAACATAGAAAAGAAGAAATAGCTCTCACTTTAATCAAGGAGAGTGGTGAACTCTGTAATTAGGAGTCTACATTTTATTATTTGGCACTGATTAAGCAGTTCACTGCTTGACCTTTTTAGTCAGCCCTCACAACCTCATTTGGGTAAATACAATGACTGTCCATCCAAGCTTTTCATTTTCTGTCTTCCTAAGGAGGTAAATGAGAGATTTTTACATCAACTAAGGATAAATTCTTCTGCCTAAGTGGTAGTTGGAGAGTCAGTAGCAAGACACATATGACCTCATATTCTTGACCAGGACTGTGCCTAATTTTAGTAGAATAATTATGGATTTGGCAATTGAACACGTTCAGCCTAAGGAATGGATTTGGTCTGAATAGAAGTTCTCTATACCAAGATAAATGGAGAGCACAACCAAAGGACATTTGCATTTTAGACTATGAAATAAGAAGCTATGATACTTTAACAATGTTCCCTTATGGCTAAAAGGTGAAATCAATGAGCTCATTGCAAAGCCAGGTAAAATGCGAGTGAGGAACTACATTTTGCAGCTTATGCAAAGTAAATTATAATTTTTACAGAAGGATGAGTTAAAAGAGTACTACCGGTAGTGTAGCAAACCTCTGAAAAGGTGAGTTGCTGAATAGCCTGGAACTTCAGTTTACGTTTTCAAAACATGAATGGAAACTGAGGCTTAAAGTAAGGACTATGAGGAAACCATTCACCTCAGTGGCAGTTCTGACATCCCCCCTCCTTTACAGTTGTTGAGAGTTAAATATTGCCATAGTGGGCAAATGGACTTGATACAAAGTGAAATGACCTAAGTTCATTGCTGGTTCAAGTGCAAAAGGACAGATATGCTCTTACAATTTACTAAGCCACTTCTAGTAGTTGCTGAATTCACATATCACCAAGAGGAATAAAAATCTTGAGAGGAAAAAAGAAATAATCAGGAAGAGGGAGGATAACTCAACATCGTCTGAAATGAAATCTCTGTCTTTGGGTGGGTTTTTTTGATCCAAAAGGATGTAGTAATTTTTGAAAAATAGTTTCATTTATGTATACAATTGCTTTGTAATCCAGTATCAGAAAGTGCCATTAAAGTAATAAATCATATCAGTAAAAGATAGATCAGAGGAATAAGATTGCCATGTGTCCACTCTTGCATATAAGAGTGATTTTTTTTTACCTCATTGATTGGTAAATAGAATTATAAATAGGTATGAATGTGTATTTTAAGCCTAGAGATAGCACAGTAAGCAACATTCACAGATGCTGTGACAAGCAGCTTATGTATAATATGCATTTTCATATGTATTTCAGAACAAAGGAGAATCTTATTTTCTGATAAAAATAAATTTATTCAGAAGGCCAATATTTAATCCCAAATGATAAAGTAAATCATAACATTCAAAATTAATTTAAAAGTATTTCTTAAATATATCTGAAGAAATTCAAGTTAGTTGGACTCTTTCCAAGAAAAGAAAGTAATTGCTTTTTTTCTTTTGTTAAAGGCAATATGCTCAAAGTTTGTATGGGGAAGCTTAAAAAAAAATGATATTTTAAAATAATAATGAAAGACAGGAGTATCTTTTTTCCTCCCCAGGTAAAAAAGAAGAATTTTCTCAGCTGGATACTACTTTAGATGAGAAATTCCAAAGGAGAAAAGACTTTACATACCAATGGCTTCATACACAGCTTTTGGATTATGAAGCAGCCAGTTCCAAAAATATAAAGCGGTGAGGTCATTGCCTTTAAATTAGGATTTTTTTTTTATTTTAAATTTTTCTTGTAAAGTGAAACCTAGGTTAATAGTTCTAAAACAAACATGATTTTGTAGCTAGCAGACAGTACACCGTATTTCCGAGTCCGAAGCATGATACCCTTCAGAATTGGTTTAGTAGTCATTGTACAGATACTTCTTCCGCAGTGATAACGAAATGATACACAGTGCAGAATCTTGTGATAAATATCCACATACCTTTATGCTAGCAATGTGGTAGGTTTTGTAAAGAATATGGAAAAAAGTGCTTATTCATCATATACTTGATAACTTTATTGCTATATAATATGGTTTTATGTAATTAGATTAACTGTAACATTACCTATATTGTTAGATTTGATTAAGGAAGTAAAAAAAACCCCACTTTTAATTAGGTAGTATGTATTTATATTATGTCTTCAAAACATAAGCCTAGCTTTTTACATCTTCATAGTTTACTTCAGTAAAATGTTGTAAACATGTCCCTTCTATATTTAATTTTTGTTATTAAGCAGGTAAAATATCAATGTCTTTAAAGAAAAGGTTAATCCCATTCCCTAAACTAACATGAAGACATAGTAAGTATATTTTGGTAATAAATTCAATATAAACCATTGATATCTTAATGAAGTCATTAGTAGACACAATGCCAAGCACCTCTAATAAAACCAAACAAGGTGTCAGTAGGCAAGCAATGGATTTAGTGTAAGCATTTAGCTTTATTTTCATTAAAAATGTATTTAATTTGTAATGCAATGGAGTGCATATTGTTATGTTTTGCATGGAAAAATATTCCACTTTTCTAAATTGTATCAATGACTGTAGGAAGTATATGTAGCACATATTCTTTAGCAAATATTTATCTGTCAGTCATGTTCCATGATAGTGAAACACTCCAAGTGTTTGTTTAAAATAACTGTCATGACTTTTAATTTGAATGAAAACACTGGAACGGAACATGTAATGATGTTTGAAAGTAAGAAGACATGGAAATTTATAAAAGGATTTTTTTAAATGTTGTTATGTTAACGTTTGCGGGTGTGTGCTATGCATTAGTATTTGTACTGACATTTTTTAAGATTATGATCCCATTTTTGAATGTGGCAAAAGTCCCACTGATCTCCATTGTAACAAAACTGATAGACTGTGTAGAACAGCTGATACATTTATGTAACTGAAAACAATTTTATTCCTATGTAATTTAACAACTGATTTGACTATAGTTTATGTCAGTACATGCAAAAACTCATGCATGGTTGCATTTATTGACATTTATATTTTTAAATTAGTGTTCTATCATAGGAATAAACAATATTAATTATTTATAATGTCTTGGTTTTAGTGTTAAGTACAAATATTTTAATATTAATTACTCTGATACTTTAAATTATCAGTTAATATTAATTACTCTGATACATCTTAACCATGGAATTATTTTAAATAGCATCATTTCTAACTTAAGCAGGAGTGCTTCCAGGAAAAGATTCTGGTATTCAGGTATTTTAGTGAACCCAGTACAGTGGGATTTATTGAAATTTCTATTCTACATTTTTCCCAGCGGTCGTTTTTTGCCTGAATTAGATCCTGTGGTACGTGACAGTAGACGAGTACAACTTGTGGTAAGAACTTTTTCTTTGTGGGATTTTGCAGAATTTAGCTATGCCTTGATGGTGTTTTCAAATGCATACTTGTAAAAGGAACCAGGAGATTTTTTTGACTGAATATAATTCTTAAATATTGTCTCTATTTGGCAATCAAGTCCCATTGATGGAGATCAGAAAAAGGTGTTTGAGCACCAGAAGCCATGTGTGTACATAGAGTTCGAGTTTCATAATTTGATACTGGTTTTGTTTTTTAAGACGTCAAATGCTACTGTGTGTTTTTAAAGCTTCTAAATCAACCTTTTAAAAAAATCAAATATGGTTCAGCAGTAATTACATTATTGACTGAAAACATGTATTCTTGTCAATCAGACAAGTTTAAATGTTCTTAAGTTCTGTAAATCACATACCTCAATCATTCTAGTATGCCCACAGTGTCATTTATTAAAAGATGGTAAATTGGTCTAGCATAGTCCATTATTAAAAAAAATTTATAAATCAGACTTATTCCTACAATTTCTTTTCTATAGGTTTTACATCATAAAATGCCCTCTATTTTTTTCATTATTCATTCTTTTCTTTGCAGCATTTAAAGTAAAATTGTATTTTCTGAAATGGGTAGTTCTTTAGGCTGGCAGGAAGGGGAATATGAGCGTTTTAAAAATCTGAAGATTTACAAAACAAAAATCTCAGTGTCAGAAAGACCCAAAAGTTCTTTTGATAGTGAGCAGTATTACGATGCCTACATGCCAATTTATACTATATAGATATACACACACACATATACACACTTTGTTTATATAATTATGTGGGGGTTAGAAAATAGGGCAAAAACTTACAAACTCTACAGAATTAGTGTCTTATATTCATATACATAATGTAAAATGTTGCATAAAAAGTATTTCCAGGTCAGATGATGTCATATGCTTCATTCTTTACTCTGAGCAATCTTGGCCCTTTCTAACCTCTGTCTTCTTTAGCGTCACCAATTATGCAATATGCATGCTTTGGAAATGCTTCCATAAACTCTTCTAAAATTCACTGTTGAAAAAATTATTTTAAGACTTATATATTACTATTTTCTTTAAGTCATATTTTGTCAAAGATTTTTCTGTGGGGTGGGGTTTAGTGGCTGGAATCATGAACCAGGCTACCATTGTGTTGGGGTTTGGTTGTAGCAGTGCTAATAATTATTTGCTAGGTGAAGTCTGAAACAATAATTGCTCTAATTTGAGCAAATCATAATGTAATAATGTTATCTAAATTACACATTATGTAATTATTGGTAAGCATATATGCACATAGGTAGATTGTATCTTATTTACAGTAAGCAGTGTGTCCACAAAATACTGCTGCAATCCCACAACAGTATTATGTGGTGTACCCACATAACTGGAAATGTTATGGGATTGTCACAGCCTGTGCCACATAATTACATAGCTGTTCCACATGAACGAAATACAGAGAAAAATGCAATAGGAGGTCAAAAAATAGAAGAAGGAATAAAATGCAGAAAGCATTACTATATAGGCAATGAAATAATGATGTGGTTTGTACATATAGACAGCTGGAGAATTATGGTTTTAAAATTTATATGGGTTCTTTTAGCATTTAAAGGTTGAAATGTGAAATGTGAACATACTCTTAATGCTTTCACACAGTAACTCAGTTAAAAGCTCTTAAATCATGACAAAATGAAGTTAACACTTAGCTGCAATCCTTATCAAAAAAATAGTAGTTTTGGTAAGCTGAAAGAAAGAGGAAAATATACATTAAAAAACCCCAGATAATTAGAAGAGGAAAGCATTCCTAGGAATTTCCAGTAGTTTATTCATATGCCATATGCTTGATCATAAAGTTTCCTGGTGTGTAATAGGATCCCTAACTTGTATGTGTTACATAAACCTGCATTCTGAAAATACTAGATTAATATAATTTTTAACTGATATTTGTACACATTCCAAGAATTTAAGACATTCTTTCTCATGGATACAAAATGGTAATTCAATGGTTGCATATTAACAATAAAGTCTTAGCCCTTCTCATTGGGGAATAAACCCTATGTAGCAACCTGCAGTAAATCTAAGACCTTGTTCTGTTAATCTTGATCATTTTGATGATTTTGCTTACTACTAACTACTATGTAAGTGCTTAGGAAGGGGTGCTGACTGAGCATCCCTTGGCTATCCCTAAACTGGGCACTTGAAATTAATATGGTTTTGGTGAATGACAAATAAGAAAGAGTTCTTGATTCCTCTTTGTATATAGTTTAAGTTACTTATATGATTAACCACTTCACTGTTAATCAGTATGTACAAATCATTAAGATATAATTTGAATTTAAAAGCACTTTGTACTTCAGAAGGTTACAGAATATCTTGAAAATTTGACATAGAATAGACAAATATTCAGATGCAGAGCTGTATTCAAGGCAAAGATTCCTCCTCATTGAATTTAATTTCCAATTAACTGGGGAAAAAAAAAAAAAGGTTTGCAGTAGTAAAACTAAGGGAAAATAGTCTGAAGAGTTAAATATGGTGATCACTACAGATGGAAGGCCAATACTGCACTCTGTGTAAAGGTGTACCAGTATCTTAAATTTCTTCCAAATTTTTGGCTCTAAGCTATAAATGTAAAAGGAAAGGTTTTAATTAACTTCAGAGGACTTTCAATCAGGTTCTTTACAAAGCTGAAATTAAGTTTGCTCCAGTGATTAATACAACCTTAAGTATTACTCTGACTGTAATTGGGTGAAAACACTTATCTTTATTTGAAAGAAAATAACAAATATTTTACATCAGTGCCAGACATCCCTATTAAAATCTATCATATAACACTGAATATTGTCTACAAGACAATGAAGTCTCAGGTTCTGTGATGATAGGGACTGGATAATAATTCTATGGAGAGGTTAGTTGTTTAAAATACTGTGTCCTTCTGGGTCTTTGGAAATTGAAACATTTGAAAACTTCTGCTGTGTGTTGAAACAGGTTAGATGGAAATAATGATTAATTCCATCGGTCTGAATCTCTCTGAGTGTCACAATGATTGCATTATTTCTGCTAAGGAAAGACTTTCTGTTTAAAGATTTTGAGCATATGGAGCTCTCACAAGCTTAAAGCAACTGTAAATATTAAGGCAAAAAATATAAAGAGTTGGCAGGATAAAACTGTAACTCTTTTCAAAGTTTCTTGACACTGCTATGGAAGAGAAAATAAAATATTGATAATACAGCCTGCTATCTGTGCAAAGCAAAACTTTAAAATCATGATCATTGAACATATAAAAGGCAAGCATCAGAAAACAAGGGGTAAACTTTCTGTGCTGGCACAAAGGGTACACAGTCACTAAGGAAGAGCGTAAAATCTCTGTAGCTTTGGAGGTTTTGGTTTGAAAATGCATGAACTTTTTCATGAATTTTACATTAAACAGTGACTGGGGTAAGGACAAAGAAATGAAACAGGGCTCCATTTCATCTGAGTTCTCTAAGTTAGACTGGACTACAAAGCCTGTCTGCGTTGGTGTGACGCTGCTCTTGGTACAGTGAGCTGGTTTGAACAGGAAGTCTGGAGATCGTCTCCTCCAGAATAGCCTACAACTTCATAGTAATGGCATTTTCCTGAGAAAAAGGAAGCTGCAGGCCTCAGCCCCTCAAGGCAGGAATTGAGACCCAGGTTCTTGATTCCTGATCGACTGGTCTAGCTACCACAATATTATGCAAAATTTTGGTGACATTACCACTAGCACAGTCTTTCCTTTTTGTTGTTTGTTTTTTGTTTGTTTAAAAAATGGACACTACTCAGTTAGACACCTAGCTTCTGAAAGCATTTGGAACTTTTTAGCCCAGATTTATTTGCCTCCTGGACTCCACTTGTGAAGGTCCAGAGACTTGAAAATTTAAGCATGTCCATATTTTCAGTGCTGCCAGCTGATGGGCTCTGCACTGGGGATTTTGTAGATCGCTCTTCTGCGGTGTCTGTTTTTTCCCATTGTTACTGGCATCTAGTCAGCAGTATTGTTAGATGGCTGCTTTTGATGTTGAATAGCTTTTCATTTCAAGGGAAAGGTGTTCTTGTTGAGCAAACGTGAAGTCACTTCTGCAAAACTAACAATTGACCATTTCCAGTGTGTGTGGTATCTTCCAGGTCAGTATTTTTAACCTTTGCCCATGTGTTCCCAAAACAAGGACCCGTTGCAAAAATGTAATATTATTTTCATTTCTATTTGTCCATATTTATGTGCAGGTAACATGCCTCTTGCCAAAATGTACTACCACTGAATGTTAGAAGTTTATAATTAAGATAATATTCTTAGCTAAAGTATAATTAAAATGCTGTCTGATGGTTATGGTTAATTAGCAAAAATCTAAAAGATTAAATTACTTACTGGGCCTTTGGCTGATTGAATTGATACGTGTCCTGGACAAAACATAAATATTGCAGAAAATAATCCAATATGACATCTCTGACATTCAACTATAACTTAAATTATAGACTGGTCAGTAAATGATCTTAAGCTGTTTAAGGTTTCATCAGCCATCTGCAAGATTGATTTTCTTCAAAATTACTGTACTAAAATGTTTTCTTTTGTTGTTGCACTGACTCAGATCACAAACCACAATTTTAAGATCGGCTCTTATTTACAAAAATGCTTTGACATAGTGCATTTGTTCAGCCTAAGCAACAATAAAGGATTGTGGTATCATTTTGAAGAAGGTTGTTTGACAGACCCTGTTTGTTTATTTGGGGTAATGTGAGCTGCATTCAGAAAATGTTATATTTTGTTTCATGATTGTGTACATTCTCTCCCACTGCTTCCAGGCAAGCCCTGTAAGCAGAGAAGACACGGATTTAGACCTTGTTTCCATGGCCAGTGGAAGTGCTTTGACTGAGAACAGAGAAAAAAATAAGCAGCCACACAGACACTCAGCAAGATCTTCAAGTAAGTTATGGTTTTTTTCAATATCAGTTTTAAAGATCACTTTTAAATGCTAGATGGAACTGAGCATGCTTGGAATCCCTAATAACATATGCTACTTATCTTTCTGTTTCTTTCTTACCTAAAACCTAGGTTTTCTACAGTTCTGTTAAAAATTGCATCTTTAATATCAATAGCCTTTCCTCTTGTGATTTTAACCCAGGGGCAGTTCGGTGTGGCATATGCTAGGTCTGATGATGATCGAGTTCTTAAAAGATTTTATTTTCTCTAAATTATAAAACAGTGCTTTTTCTAATGTTCTTTCTTTTTTTTTTTTCTTTTCCAAAAGAGGTTTGTAAAATACATGTTTTGTTAACTGAATACCAGAACACATTTCCTTATCAAGCTACAGATTTCTGTCGTGTTGATTACCAATTTTGCTGTAGTATATGCATCCTAATGAACTTATTGTAGTTCAGTGGCAGAGGATCCTTTTAAAGCCTGGTATCTTTACCACTCTAATATCGTACAAATAAACAAAAGAATCTATGTATAGAATAAATGAAAAATAATACTTGAAAGTCATAAAATGACAGAATATTGTTTCATGTTTTATTTTGTGTAATATAACTGAAGAAAATGTTATCATATTTCTAATAATATGACATACTATATTTTGTCATTTGTGTACGATTTCTTTTCCAAATAAATAAAACTCCAATCCCCTAAACTGTATGTTACAGAAAATATAAGCAGTGTTAAATGACTTTGGCAAAATTATTGAAATTCCTAATACTGTTTTTAAGAAGTGAAGTTTCTTGAAGTGCTTTATGTCAAAATAAGAATCAGGTTATTTCATATATTATATGTAATTGCTGGATTTACTTTTTTGTTATGTTTTTATATGTGCTGACTTTTCATTTTCAATGAAAAACAAATTAAAATTCAAGGAAAACATGTAAAAATATTTGATATCTCTATTTTTCTGACATACTCTTAAAAGGCTATGCAATAAAGATTTATTTACCTTATATTAGTCCACCACAGGCAAAATATAACAGTGAGTACAATTTGTCTTACTCACTGGATTTACATTCCTAAAATTAGATTAGGTAAAATTTATCATCCTAGTCTAAGTTAATTGCATCCTTGGAGAAAGAATAAGATTCTTTCTCTCTGCCTGCCATCTTGGAAAAGAATGCATTGTGTCCTGAGTTTTCCTGTTTCTCTCCATTGGCTAGTGATGAAGCCCCACCATTTCAATTAGATGAGATTTCTAACTGATGAGATCCTGAGTTTAGGTGAGACAAGTGTAAGCTACTGATGGCAATGGCAAAATTACCATTATATTCTTGAATAATTGAGTTAAATAATATACACTGCGTTCATATTAATGAATAACTGCTGTTGTAACTTACACTATACCTCCATTCAGAAAAATAAATAAGATCAAGCTCTTTCGACAAAGATAGGCAAGTTCTTCATGCCTATGTCAGGAGCTTGGAAATACTAAAGAAAAAAAGTGTCATTGTATCATACCTTCAAAAAGAAGAGACTAGGAAAGGAGCAGAAAAGAACAGTCAACTGGCAGAATCATAAGCGTGAGAAACAGAGAGACAGTTTACATAATATATATGTATTTTCATAAAATACACATCTACTACAGAACAATTACATATTCATTCTCCTTTCAGTAGCCCAGGAACTAAGGAAAAAAAGACCTGGGTATTACATCTTTCTATATGCATTTCTGTACGTGCATTTAGATAATGTTTTTCATCATAGTTTTGAGAAATTAAACAGTGATGATACGTTTAATTGTAATGCATATTATATATAAAACCAGACATTACTATTATCTTTGTACAATTTAAATGCAGTATATAAATACCTTTATTATATTAGTTCTGTTTGGCAAAGACTGCTGCTTTTTAATGATCAAAAATAAATTATTAGCCCTGTGGAATCCTTAATCTGAAAACATTAGAAATTTGCCTTTCTTTATAATGTATTCATTATAAAATACTTTTCTGTTGTATTAGATCTCTTGGTTTTGCTTTCTGAAACATTTAATGAAGAAGTACAGCAACTATTTTAGTGATTTAGGAGGTGTATTCCCTTTGAGTTAGCCTGCACAAGTATTACAGAAGAGCTGAGAAAAAATTCGGTGACCTTAGAGGTGCTCTGATTTGAATTAATTGTTAAATCAGGTTCTTGCATCATTTTTTCAGGAGGATTCAACCTCAATGCTTTGACAAGTTTTAATTAATAAAATATTATTAAATTCACTTTGCAACATCCATGATCCTGATTGTTGTTCAGAATTCTTCTTTATTGGTAGGAAGTCTTCAGCAAACTGAAAGATTTTAGTACATATCAGAGATATTAGTTGGGGATATCATATATATTTCTTATATATAATTTGTAATTCGTTAATTGTATCAATTGATTGTTGAGATCCTCTGGGATGAGAAGTGAGGTCTAAAAATGCAGGATAAATTATTTTTAGGTATGTTTACTCAAAAAAACCTCAAATATGTATGATACTGAAATAAAAGGCTTTTTAAATACTGCAGTGATGTGACTGTACATGATCATGTTTTTCTAGAAACAAAACATACATTGCTTCAAAGTTATTATCCTTTAATTCAGAGGGTTTTTAGAAAGGCTAAGTCAAGACTTTCAGAAATATTTTGAGGAACTGCCCAACTTTGATGTACTTTTTGTGGATCTTATTTTCCAAGGGTAGGTTCTTAAAATTCCTGCTTGAAGAATTTTAAGGGTTTTATCACCCAAATTTACTATTTTTTTCTGAAAAGCCTGGGTGGGCTAAATTAAGCCTAAACTAACTAAATTCTGTTTCTTGACAAAACCAAATTAATTAAGGAATAAAGGAAATGCTGTGGACATCATATATCTCAGTTTAAGGAAAGCATTTGTGTACTTAAAGTATTTGATGTGGTTCCATGTTATATGTTCAAAGGGAAATTTGACTGTGGGTTAAATTCACCAGTATTAAAAAAAAAAAAAAAAAAAGTGACTTAAAGAAAGAGTTGGTCACTTAGACTAATGAGTTACCTATCTAATTTAGAACCTTGCTTCTATTGAAAAGCAGTATGTTATCTTTTCAAACATACTAGTTTATATTCCTTCCAGAAATTGTAGTTATTTATTTTTGCTCCCTGATAACTAATTTTTGTTTTCTGGTTTTGGGGTGTTTTTTGAGGTGTGTTGGTTTTATTTTTTTGTCCATTTTTGTCTGTCCACTGCTAAGATCTTAATCGCGTGGTACTTTGTACCAATAAGTTGCGAAAGTAAGTGTGTTAGAATGACTTTTTGCTGACTATATTTTCTACCTTTCAGTTTAACATAAACTTACCATGCTTTTGTAAAAAAGTACAGGATAAAAAGTTCTTTTTCCTTGATGTATAATTTCTCTGTCGTACACACACATGAGCTGTGATGGTCAGTTGCTTACAGTCAGAGTTATGCAAGATTCAAGTATCAGTCCTACACTCATTGGTGTTTTTATTAACTCCATAAATATTGGTGTGAATTGGTGCTTATACATTTTTTGTAATCCTTTCCTGAACACTAGTAGTGTAGTCAGCACTAAGTTGCATGATGGGCATAGAAATATTTTTGCAAGAATTGAAAGTTAAGTAATAATATTTTTTTATAACTATCTAGACAAGTTGAATTTTTCTATGCTAGTGTCCAGTTTGGGATTAGGCTATGCCAATCCTCAACTCCATTCTTTTGTCCTAATCTGGTTCGGGCCAACCAATGCTGGACCTTTAGATGAGTCTCCTATATATTTACATTGCCTACCTATCATCACAATCACAGTTTTCTTTTCTCTGCAATTCTTAAACTTTATTTTGATTGTACATCTTGTGTTGTGAACTGCAGTCTTTTGACAGAGATTTGAAAGTACCAGACTTTGAAAGAGGAATGCAATGGGAGCTGTGCTTCGAATTGTTGTTTAAGATACTGCCCAGAATTCTTAATTCTTCTCTTCCCTGAATTCTAGTCTTTCAGGGAGCCTCTGAAAGCAGCAAAATACTGCTCTCCAGGAAAAAAAAAAAGGACCTGAATTTTGTCATTCCTTAGTCACCCCAAGTTCAAAAAATGACCCACAAATACTATCTCCACTACAAAACAATTAACGATTTCATTTCCCAGATAAATTCAAACTTTACCATTCTGTTTGTCAGTGAAATTAATTTAATTAAGTTTAATAATGCCTTTCTCACAGTGGAAAGACTTCAAACTCAAAGGAAAAAACCCAACCAAACAGCAACTTTTCTTTTCACTTTCCTTTTTACATCTTTCTCTCAATTCTTATTTTCCCTCTTGACAGAATGGCCACCATTTTTTTTGCCTTCCTTTCTTTTGATAATGACAGTCGGTAGAAAGTCTTCAACTTTGTTTTAAACAGTATATGGTACAGCTTCACTTCTTAAAAAAATTCCTGCTTTCCTGCTCCTTTCTCCTCAGTGTTGCTATTGTCTATACATTCTCTTTCCATAGCTGCTGTCTTTCATTTAGGATTTGTAAACTCCCTGTATGCAGTAAACCTCTCATTTTTAAGCTCTCTCTTCATACTTTAAGCTCTCTCACTCATATTTTACCGAGGGATTTCTGGTGGTGGGTGGTGGTTTTTTCTTTCCTTCTTTCCTCTTTTTTTTTTTTTTTTTTTTTCTTGGGAGCAATAAAGCTATTGAAATCCTCCATGCCTTGCCCATTGGGTGTTTTCTTTCCTACCAAGACATCAAACTACCCTGAAGGTTTATTTTAAGCAAATTCAATAGGAGGGATCACACAAGCACCTTGTTGGAAGTGTACAATGGGAGCCGAACCCAGGTCTATTCAATTAACAAGTGCTCCATTTTCATGCTATTCCTGTTGTGAATTCATTTCTTTAATTAGGCTAGCAATTTATGAACCTAACAAGGCACCATTTGTCTGCTCCTTTTTTTTTTTTTTTTTTCTGCTTGTGCAGTCTGAATTAGAAGTTTGCC